GGGGGGGGAGGGGTATCTGGGCAGGTTGGACCTCCCTGGTTTGGCTCCTTTTGGACCTGAGCAGTCTCAGACCAGGGAGTTTGCCGGACCATTAGAGGTCAGAGCTTCCCCTGTTGGTTGCCCGGCTCCCGTGCTCCTCTCTTTCGGACCTTTGCCCGGCTGCTGGCCCCCATAACGCTTTCCTGGTATTGCTCCCCACACTGCTGCCCACTCACTGCCCCAGCCGGGACCACTTGGCCGCTGCCGGCCCCACTGCTGCAGGGTGTTACCAGGGGTTCCCAGCTAGGGCCGTTCGGCACCCCTTGCCCTTCTGCTGCCAGGTATTCCCCAGCCAGGGTGCCCAGATGCTCTGCTGCTTGGGCCGGCTTCACTGCCACTCGGGATTCCAGCTGCCCATCTCTGCTGGCCCCATTTCAGCTCGAGGGTTCCCCAGCAGAGTGCCTGGTCACTCCGGCCCTGCTGCCACCAGGGGTTTGCCAGGATTCCTGGTTGGGTCCATCCAGCCGCAGATAGCCCCACTGCTGCCAGGGGTTCTCCAGATGGGGTGGGAGCTTCAAAGATGCCACCTGGCCCAGTTGGGGCTCCCCAGCCCCTGTGTTGCTCCCACCTTTGGTGCAGCAACATCCGTGGCCCTGCCAGACGATGGATGCTGGCACCATTGGAAGATCTTAAAATGCTATGGGAATTCTAATTAATATGAACTGCCTAATACTCCTGTGAAGTAGATTACCCATTTATTACACAAGAGATTAACTGAGGCACAGAGCTGTTAAGTGAGGTGCCCGAGATCTTATTGTGACTTGATGATGATACTGCATGTGGATCATAGAAGAAATTGCCTAGATACTACATATACTTGATTCAAAGTGTTCTGCAGAGACACCATCTTCCAATAAACCGTTGTGGGGTTTCAAAGTATTCCCGTTCTCGACAGTCATATTTCTTACAAATTCTGCACTATTTTTATCATAAAAAGGAAAATACCAATGTTAGAAAATTAAACAATGGATTTCAGGTGGTAAATATCCAAATGCGTGGCTTGTGTGTGCCCAGAATTTCAGAGCAGTTATTTATTGTTTGTATTCCTGCAGCAAGTTATGTAAAGGGGAGGGGGAATAAAGAGGGAAAAAGAGAGAAATTCTGCTTGTGATGACATCCACGGATGCAAGACTATGTAAGAATATACATGCTTTTTCTAATGTTTAAGTTGATATCAAAATGAGGGGAATGTAATCTTAGTGTTTCATCAAAGTATGACCTTTTTCCTCTTAATATGTTGCACCTTGTGGAAGAGGTTTGGAGCATTTCAACTGAAAATGTATACAAGTCTTACTGCATATTCCTTGCCTATAGGTTAAGGGCTGAGTTCTGCTTTTGACTGTGTACATGTGATTTCCACTAACTTTACTGGAGGGCCCGTACTTGCTTCTGATGGCTGAAATTTACCCTTATTCTCATGAATTCTCAAGCCAGGAAAAGTCAGGGAAGCACCTAATTGTTTGGACTATTTTCCCCATTGCTAATCTTCCCCAGTTTTTATAAGCCTCTTGGTTGAATTCTAGTAATTACTCAGTAAGGCGCTTCTTCATCGAAAGAGAAATACATTTTTCTTTTGGCAAGTATGGCAAGATACAAGTGTTATGGTTCCTCTTTGCCTAAATGTCTGGGTTGTAGTTGAAGTTGTGGCTGAGACGATAATGAGATTTGGCTGCTATTCAACTCCAATTGAGGTTGTTTTTTTTAGTTCACTTGTGGGGGGTTTGGTCTCCCTGTTACAACTGGATTGAGTTTGATCTGCAGGTTTCTAAAATATAGTTTGAGCATTAGGCTCTGAAGATGAACTTAGTGATTCATTCCTAATCTTTTTTTTGGCATCACAGAAACTTGGTGGGATAATACACATTGTTGGGATGGAAGGGTATAGCTTGCTCAGGAAGGATAGACAGGGAAAAAAGGGAGGTGGTGTTGCCTTATATGTACACATTTGGACTGAGGTGGAGATGGACATCAGAGACGGAAGTGTTGAGAGTCTCTTGGTTAGGCTTAAAGGGGTAAAAAAACTAGCTACAGGAATAAAGGGAAACAAGAAGATGTTTTTATAAATACATTAGAAGCAAGAGGAAGACCAAGGACAGGGTAAGCCCACTGCTCAGTGAGGAGGGAGAAACAGTAACAGGAAACTTGAAAATGGCAGAGATGCTTAATGACTTATTTGTTTCGGTTTTCCCCAAGAAGTCTGATGAAGGAATGCCTAACATAGTGAATGCTAGTGGAAAGGGAGTAGGTTTAGAAGATAGAATAAAAAAAGGACAAGTTAAAAATCACTTAGAAAAGTTAGATGTCTGCAAGTCACCAGGGCCTTTTGAAATGCATCCTAGAATACTCAAGGAGCTGATAGAGGAGAATAGCCTCTAGCTATCATCTTTGGAAAATCATGGGGGACAGGAGAGATTCCAGAAGACTGGAAAAGGGCAAATATAGTGCCCATTTATAAAAAGGGAAACAAGAACAATCCAGGAAACTACAGACCAGTTATTTTATTCTGTGCCAGGGAAGATAATGGAACAAGTAATTAAGGAAATCATCTGTAAACACTTGGAAGGTGGCAAGGTGATAGGGAACAGCCAGCATGGATTTGTAAAGAACAAATCATGTCAAACCAATCTGATAGCTTTCTTTGATAGGATAATGAGTCTTGTGGATAAGGGAGAAGTGGTGGATGTGGTATGTCTAGACTTTAGTAAGGCGTTTGATACGGTCTCACATGATATTCTTATCAATAAACTAGGCAAATACAACTTAGACGGGGCTACTATAAGGTGGGTGCATAACTGGCTGAATAACCATACTCG